ATGTTGGGCTCAATTGTGGTCATAAGTTGAGGACTACCTGTAGTTTATAATGCTACAAAGTTGGTTCTTGAGACAGTTCTACAAAAGGTTGATGGGACTGAAATAAAGGATTTGGATAGAGAGTGCCAGGAAATGCCCCAGATGTAAGACAGGCAGGAAAGGCAAAGAAACTTCTGGAAAAAAGGGGCAAATCCTTAGCAAGAAAATCATATGATGAGTGAAACTTGACTTGAGCAATTTTTTTCACCTCATATTTATTCTACTATAATTCTGCTTTTTTTTTTCAAGTTTAAGTACTACGTTGTCTTGGGTTTTTTAATCCCCCAAATAGTGGGGTTTTTTTTCCTAAAGAAGTGTGACATTCCAGAAAGTTCAGCACTCTTTAGCAATTTTGTACGAAAAGCTAAAAGCATCCAAAGAAAAGTCATTTAAATAAATAAATAAATAAATAAATAAATAAATAAATCGCCAAGTGACATTTCTTTGGGGGGAATGTCAAGTAGTTTGAGTAAAAGCATCCTTTTATTCTCCTGAATTTAGGGTTGTTTTTTTTTTAAAAGAAAAAAACCTAGGCCTTGCTATCTCTAGATCAGTGTTTATAGCTACTATTATTAATTCACACTGTATACAACGCGGTGAATCTTTAGCTTTGCTCCACGAACCACGGAGATTAGCATTTGCTTGGCTTTACGATAACTTGGCTTTTACCTGTGTATGCGTACTGCACTAAGGCCCACAATGCATTTGGTTCCACGCCTTCCATTTTGATTTCCTCCTGTCTTGCTTCTCGGACGTCGTTAGTAAACATGGCTGCAAAGTAATCGGAGACGGAGGACAGCACCAACCTGGGCCCTCGTGAAGCAGAAGGGGGACAAGAGAGAAGGCGAGGGGTGCCTGCATTAATTGGGTAGCCTGTTTATAAAAAGCATTTTAAATAACAATCGATATAAATGAAGCACTTGGTGCAATTAAAAATCGGATGGTTTTAGGATACAATCTTTGTGTCAAGTACGCCTCTGTGCGCGCGTGTATGTGTATGGAAATATATTTTTCTTTGGAGAGTGGGCTTAAGGCAGTGGTTCTCAACCTTTTTAAAGCCGCGACCCCCAACCGGTCGTAAGTCGAGGACTAAACCGGTCGTAAGTCGAGGACTAAACCGGTCGTAAGTCGAGGACTAAATCGGTCGTAAGTCGAGGACTACCCAACCGGTCGTAAGTCGAGGACTTTCCCTGCCCGGGAGCGCCGCACATGCGTGGTTCCGCCCCCTGCGCCGGCCGAGGCGTAGCTGGCAAGCAGCAGAGACGGAGCAGGCCGACCACCAGCTGGCCCAGCCCAAGGGAGGTAAGGCACCGGCCGGAAAAGGGGGAAAAAATGGCAGACAGCCTTGCTTGGCGACCCCCGTGAAATGGTCGATCGACCCCAAATGGGGCCGTGACCCATAGGTTGAGAACCGCTGGCTTAAGGGATCGAATGCACACGTTACCTGTGTGCTGGGATCCGTCGCTCGCCTGCCACTAACACCACGTCGCACAGCTGCTTGTGTCTCAGGTAATTTTCCATTTTTTTAAACGTTTGCTCCGCATGGTTGAGCGCCTGGAAAAATTCATCAGACGTACAAGGCTCCATTGGAGGAGACGGCAGGCGAGTCTCTCTGATGTCGGAGGGTCTGGAAAGGCAAGGCGTACGCAGATGGGTTAGAAAAGAAATTGACGGGGCGGATTTTAGACAAAAATGGACAAAATGCAGACTCTCAAAAAGCTTCAAGCTACTGACGCTGCGTCAAAAGGCTGTTTTTGATGAGTAGCTGAACTGACAGAAAAGCTTTCCAGAGTCACAATCTTTTTGATATGCATTTTTGCCTTCCCACTCATCAGCGCGCTGGGCGTACGTGAAAAGGGCTGAAAATACCATTCTAAAGTGACTATGAAAATCATGTCAGAAGATTAAGCGCAAGGCTCTTTTTTTTTTTTTTGCACCGAAATATATTTACTACGCATCTCCAAACGCCTAGAAACATTTTCTCAGCTCCAAACCTTTCCCTCAAGTCGACTGGAGAAGCACTAAAACGGGCATTTTATGCCCAGGAAAGAGATTAACCGCTCAGCAAAGTTGCAATTAATGGCGCTCGCGATTATAGGATCATAATTACAGTTTCAAAATTAGCAGGCTATTAAGAAGATCTATAGGCGGACAGAAGGAAAAAAGTGGCGGCAGTTTCTAGTTTTATGTTCTCACATCAGCCAGGAGGAAAACAAAACGTGGTTGAGTTATTAGCAATGACCCAGCCAGGATTTCTGTAAAGCTAAGGCTTCTGTACGTCCACCTAAAGAAGTACTTTGCTGATTGGAATTCCATTAGAGGAAGATTTTATTAATCTTTTTCAATACACATTTAAAACCATCTTATTTATTTCACGAGTATTTCTTAAACTGATACATAAATATTCGAGAAGACTGCAGTTTGGAAGTACCTAAACACTGTGAGGTCCTTGGTTCTCTCTGAGCTTGGTGGTTTTCTTGCAGACATTTCATTACCCAACTAGGTAACATCATCAGTGCTAGAAGGGAGATGGGTTTGCAGGGAGGAGGAGGGGGGAGGAGGTGAAGGAGGAGAAGGAGGAGGAGGAGGAGGAGGAGGAGGAGGAGGAGGAGAAGGAGGAGAAGGAGAAGGAGAAGGAGAAGGAGGAGAAGAAGAAGAAGAAGAAGAAGAAGAAGAAGAAGAAGAAGAAGAAGAAGAAGAAGAAGAAGAAGAAGAAGAAGAAGAAGAAGAAGAAGAAGAAGAAGAAGAAGAAGAAGAAGAAGAAGAAAGGACTGCGGGGTCCTTGGTGCTCTCTGAGCTTGCTTGTTTTCTTGCAGACATTTAATTACCCAACTAGGTAACACCATCAGTGTTAGAAGGGAGTGGGGTTTGCTCTCATTTTATACGCTACTAGCTTGCCCTGTCGGTGCTGGTGGGAATGGTCTTGATGGGGCTGTTTTAAGTACAAATTTAAGGATTTATTTTTTTAAAAAAAAATGGAACAAACAGCCGAAGAATAATAAAAACTTTGATTTTTAGAGCATTACAAACGGGCTAAATTTAATCTCCGGTTAAATGTGTAATACGGTTTTGGAAATAATTGTGAAGAATCTCACCTTTTTTCTTCGTCTAGTTTTTTAAATTTATATTGGGTTTTTTTAATTGTAATTATAAGCTTTAATAAATTTACTACCACAAATGAAAAAAAAATGACATTTGTAGTTAAAAAATAATAATATCAAACCAGCCCTATGTTATGATCTAAGACTGGGCTAATACTAAAAGCAATTGAAGCTTAAACTAAGAAAGATTGTAACTTTGCACTCAAAATTAATAGGCAATTAACCAGGATGAGCCCTGGTGGTGCAGCAGTTAGAATGCAGCATTGCAGGCAAACTCTGCCCACAGCCAGGAGTTCGATCCTGACCTGGTCAAGGTTGATTCAGCCTTCCATCCTTCCGAGGTTGGTAAAATGAGGACTCAGATTGATGGGGAACAAAATTCGGATTCTGTAAACCGCTTAGCGAGGACTGTAAAGCACTGTGAAGCGGTATATAAGTCTACATGCTATTGCTATTGCTATTGCTATAATAATAATAATACAAAATGCCAAATCCAGTCTGAACATCTGGCTGACTGTGCGATGATCAATAATAATAATAATAATAATAATAATAATAATAATAATAATAATAATAATAATAATAATAATAATAATAATAATAATAATAATAATTTGGTCCACACTCTGGTGACCTTTAGGACACAGATAAATAATAATAATAATAAAGTTGGAAGGGACCTTGGAGGTCGTCTAGTCCAACCCCCTGCTCAGGCAGGAAACCCTATACCATTTTGGACAAATGGCTGTCCATTCTCTTCTTAAAAACTTCCAGTGTTGGAGCCTTCCTTCCTTCCTTCCTTCCTTCCTTCCTTCCTTCCTTCCCTTCCCTTCCCTTCCCTTCCCTTCCCTTCCCCTCCTTCCATTTCCGTTCCTTCCTTCCTTCCTTCCTTCCTTCCTTCCTTCCTTCCTTCCTTCCTTCCTTCCTTCCTTCCCTCCCTCCCTCCCTCCCTCCCTCCCTCCCTTCTGCCATGGTGCACAGTGGTTAGAACGCAGTATTGCAGGCAAGTCCCTTTTTTTCATGCCGTTGTAACTCTGACCTGTCGTAAATTGAGGACTACCGGTATAAGTATGTAATGTACATACTAATGCTTATATTTCATACAAGGGGCAGCACACAGAGAAGAAAAATCTGGGCTGCTTCTCAGCCAGCGAGGCATAATTCAGCCATCCCTTCCCGCTCCCTCTCAATAATAGAGCATGAGCAAAAGTAGAATTGATTAACCTTTTATATTCCAGCACTTAATCGCAGCTTATCTAAATTGCTCACATGCACACTCTCTCCGGGGCGCATGGGAATTTACAGGAGGATGGTCTTATTAGCTTTACACAGCCACAGGAGGAGTGAATGAATTACTAATGGCACATACAGCGAGTGAGTTTGTGCTACCTCTTTTATTGCACGCAAAAAATAAGATTGGAGCATAACCGTGCTAGACTTTCCTGCCCGCCTATTTTTGCATGGTGTAAGATGAAAGCTAAAACCAAAATCATGGCATCCGGCCCTCTCAATTCCTGGCAAATAGATGGGGAAGAAATGGAGGTAGTGACAGATTTTATTTTCCTGGGCTCCAAGATCACCTCAGATGGGGACTGCAACCAAGAAATTAAAAGACGCTATGGCAAATCTAGATAGCATACTAAAAAGCAGAGACGTCACCCTGCCAACAAAAGTGCGTATAGTCAAGGCCATGGTTTTCCCAGTTGCAATGTATGGCTGTGAAAGTTTGGACCATAAGAAAGGCCGAGCGACAAAGAATGGAGGCCTCTGAACTCTGGTGATGGAGAAGACTCCCGCGAGTCCCCTGGACTGCAAGGCGATCAAACCAGTCAGTCCCAGAGGGGATCAACCCCGACTGCTCTTTAGAAGGCCAGATCCTGAAGTGGAAACTCAAGTACTTTGGCCACCGAATGAGAAGGAAGGACTCGCTGGAGAAGAGCCTGATGCTGGGAAAGATGGAGGGCAAGAGAAGAAGGGGACGACAGAGAAGGAGGTGGCTGGATGGAGTCGCTGAAGCAGGAGGCGTGAACTTAAATGGACTCCAGAAGATGGTAGAGGACAGGAAGGCCTGGAGGAACGTGGTCCATGGGGTCGCCATGGGTCGGACACGACTTCGCAATTAACAACAACAACAACAACAAGAAGATGAAAGCTACTTCGCGTTCTACTCATCTCCAGAGAGGAGAACGATGTTTGTAATAATTTTATTCCCTATTTATTTAAAAAAAACCTGTCATTTAGTTTTTGAGGAATTAGCACTCTTAACAGTGATCTCCATAAAAACCAAAGTAACTGCACTTAATTTAATTAATGATAATGATGATAAAGTTGGAAGGGACCTTGAAGGTCATCTAGTGAGTCCAACCCCCTGCTCAGGCAGGAAACCCTATACCATTTTGGACAAATGGCTGTCCATTCTCTTCTTAAAAACTTCCAGTGTTGGAGCATTCACCGCTTCTGGAGGCAGGTTGTTCCACTGGTTAATTGCTCTAACTGTCAGGAAGTTTCTCCTTAGTTCTAGGTTGCTTCTCTCTTTGGTTAGCTTCCACCCATTGCTCCTTGTCCTGCCTTCAGGCGCTTTGGAAAATTATTGGGCACCCCAGAAGAACTTCTCTGCAGGACACAGATTTTTTCTTTAAAACATTCATTTTGAGATCTTGACATTACATTAGGGTAGAAATAGAATATCTTTCCATAGCAACCGTAAACGGATATATAGTTAAGAGTGCACTAAAAACTCTAGCAAATTCAACGCAATCTATTTATGCCTGCCGTTAGCATTAAAAGCTGATATGATCAGAAAAATCAGTCATTTATTGACGTTCAAAAGAAAATTAACTTTTCGCTCCAGCGAAATGTTTAGTATTTGTATATTGTAATTTTTGACAATGCTTACCGCAAAATTTAAAGAGGTCAACATGTTACGGTAATGGCTTTGCCCTCTTTTTAAACCAGCGGTCCCTGCATAATATTAATGTTTGTACGATTGAGAGGAACAAAGGGGACGTGATACATTTTAGTTCCTGCACTGAGGCATCATTAATTCATCTGATCGGTGTTCAACATTGGAATTGCATCCTAAGGACGCTGTCCATTTGTTGGCTAAGTTTTAAAGGTAAATCAAAATATAACATGTACCAACTCTCCTAGATCTGTATCATATACAAGGAACAAAAAATAAAATAAAATAATGTACATTCTCTCTATAAAAACAGAATTAAAATCAAGTACAGTACTAGAAGGCAAACGTACCAGGATAATGAACTTCAAATGCAGTTCTTTACACAGATGTTAACCCAGTGAGACTGACTCCCAGGTAAATGCACATACTACAGGCACATAAAGTTGCATTATTATTTTTTTAAAATAAGTGACAAAGAGAACTCCAGCTATCTCTCTCTCTACAATGCGATGTCTAACCTGGATTTAGCTCACCTGCTTCAGCAGTCTGAAATAAATCCTATATTACTACGCTCCTATTCTAAAATCCAGCAAGGACCCCAAAAAAGCCACCGTCGTAAATACCGATCCGGATTAAATTAAAACAACAAAAGAAGACCTACGGGGTGGGGGGGGGGGAATACCTGGCTGCCTTCTTTAAAAAAAATCTTACTCATTCACCTTAATCCCTTTTCAAAATATTTTGGATACAGATCAGCAATTACTCATCTCTGTTTACTCTCCACAGATCACTTGTTAAAATGTAAAATAATAATAATAATAATAATAATAATAATAATAATAATAATAATAATAATAATAATAAAAAAAATTTAAAAAATGCCGGCGATCAACACAAGAGTGTTGGCTGGCCAGATTATTATTTCTTTTTTTTTTTGCAGCTTTTCAATGGAGGAATTTTTTTATTTTTTATTTTTGCAAACTGCCACCCCCCCGGCTCAGCTCATTCTGAACAATGAGAAAGCAAGGACCTGCATGCAGTGAGGTTTGGTACTTTTGCTTCTTCTGCTGCTTCTTCTTCCCCGGCTCCACCCTCAGCATCTGGGTGCTCAAGCAAGCGTGCGGTCTGGATGTCCTCTCTGCTGAAGTCCAGGGAAGGCACCCCTGATATGGAGGCCATTGGCCCAGAGAAGGAGTCCAGCGAGCCCTGGGGCTTGGACCTCCGGAAACCGAGGGATGCGAAGGAGGGCGGTAGCCTGCTTGCATTGAGGGACTTTATCCCCCCGTTACGTCTTCTGCCCCAGAGGTCTCCTTCGCCACCGCCGGCATCGGGATTAGGAGGGGGCTGCTGGTGACCAAGGCCCCTCCATCGCAGCCTTAGAATCCGCTTCACGTCAAATTCTCGGCGCGAGCCTGACATCCTTGGGCGAGAGCA